CATGCATCTACACAAATGCCCAAGGTCTACTCAGCAAATTAGCAGAATTAAAACTTCGACACGCGTCAGCAGCTTGGGACCGCATCGTTAGCATGCAAACGTAGTTGCGCTGTGAGATAACGGATACTGAAATCGCGCTAACAGGTATGTCTGTTGTCCGGAATGATCGAGCCAGAAAAGGTGGTAGGGTAGCCCACTAATTTCGCAATAACCTGCCGTGCGAACTTATACACGATTCGAAAACCGATATACCTGACTCCATTTGGTGCAGTTTCCCGCTGAGGGGGAACGATCTTGGCCTAATGGTTGTCGTTTACCGACTACCGTCGTCTACACCTGAGATGGACTGCAACCTGATAGCTGCGTTAAGACAATTGATAAGCAGGAAGTACAGTCACATTCTAGTCGATGGCGATATTAACTTACACGCTCTGTAACCCCAGGCCACACCAGCAGAGTAATTCAAAGCGGACCTGCAAGATCTTGTCTCAGATTTTCCGCTTTATGGCCACGTCACATCGCCCACCGGATTCAGGGGAAATAACAGGCCATCCATGTTGGACCGAATATTCACTAATGAAGAACTGATGATCGAGAGAGTGATAATCGATACCCCTCTAGGCCGCAGTAATCATGCGCCTTTGCATTTAATGTACAGTTGCTATGCTAAATATCCCGAGAACCGAACACAAACAACGCGAACCGTAACTAGTTACTACACCTTAACCCGACTGGTTGAAGCGCCCGACTGGAGCTTCCTAACCGAGGATGAACCCGATATTGACTGGGAACGTTTCGTCAGTAAGTTTCACACCCTGGTTAGTAGAGCATCGGAAACCAAGACTAACAGTTCGAGAAACATGGCCTCGTTCACACGGAATAGGACACGCAAACGCATGGTAATGCGCAACGCGGCGTGGTATACCCACAAAACCGATCCGAGTCCGAGTACCTGGAAGGCATACGTTGTCCACCGTAACCACTGTACCCAATTAGTGCACGAGAACAAAGTAGCTTATCAATATGCCTTAGCCCAGCGACTAACTGCAAATCCTAAGCTTCTGTATAAACATGTGAACAGCCTTCGCGAGGTGAAAAATGGATTTCCCCCACTTCAGACCGCGGATGGTTTAACTCGGACTGCTAAAGAAGCTTCGAAGGTTCTGCAACAACAATATGCATCAAGATTTCACTACATCACCTGGTCTCGTGAATTTTTGGAATCTATGATGCTCACACCAGGACTCATACACATTTTACGGCAGACATCGTGATGTAGAAGGTGCTATCTATGCGCCTGCACGACTGTCCGCCAAAAGACCCTTGCTGCGCCTGTTACTACTTTGACTGAATCTTTGGTGCAGCTGTTCCAGCACTGCTACGGCGAGCAGCACGTTCCTGCAATGTGGAAACACGGAATAATAACTCCCATTTACAAAGTGGGTAGTCGCTCTGACCCAGCCAATTATCGACCAGTGACTCTACTGCCAGTTCTTTCAAAAGTCGTGAGGTCTCTCATTGCTGACGTCCTCTTGTTTTATCTGGACGGCTTTGGTTAGATTGCTCAGCAGCAACACGGTTTCCACCAGAATCGGTCGTGCACAACGAACCTATTGTTAGCATGAGACAGTTGGACCGAAACTGTGAACGCTGGTGCAGTAGTTGATGTGGCTTACCTTAATTTCTCTAAAGCAATCGACCGGTTGGACCACCGTATCTTTCGCGCCAAACTTCAAGGATGTGGCATTGGTGACCCTCACCTCGGGTGGATCTGCAATTTTCTCTCTCACAGGCGTCTGGAGGTGAGAGTACGTGAATTCATGTCAGACCCTATTCACGTCGAATGCGGAGTGCCACATGGTTCGGTATTGGGGCCTTGCCTAGTTTTAGTCTTCATGAACGATCTAATGAGTTAAATTGCGTCAAACTGTTTACACTACGCCGATGACAACAAACTTTGGCGAGTGATCAGAGCTCCAGAAGACCGTATCCAGATTCAAATCGACCTTGACAACACTTGTGGATAGTCGGTCCAAAATCGCCTGTACCTCAATGTGGCTAAATGTCGAGTGCTCCACTTACGACACCGAATTGTTCACACATATAAGCTGGGTGACCAGGAGCTGCAACACCGTACTCTTGAGAAGGATCTCGGTGTGTTGGCCCAGGAAGATTTCGGCTGCTCGGAGCAGTCCAAAAGGGCATCGAAGAACAGGATCCGAACCGTGGGACTTTTACGGAGAACTTTCGGGCAATTCGAAACGTTCATTTGCCACCCAATAGTTCCCGCTTATATATGCCAAGTAGTTGAATATGCAATTCAAGCATGGCACTCATGGTTAGATCGGGATCTCACGGTCCTAGAGCTATCACAACGTCAAGCTACCAACAATGTCAAGGGGCTGCGCCACTTGTCATACAAACAGCGCCTCAGAGTGCTTGGCATTTTCGCCGTTTGCATGGTGACCTAATCATGGTTTGCCAAATAGTAAACAACACCAGTCACCCTGCCATCGAAACAGCCAACTGAGAGGTCATCATCTCAAATTTGCAGAACAATACAGTCCGTTGGAGTGTTGAAATAACTTCCTCTCGCTGCGTGTTTGCCACACGTGGTATACCCTCTCAGAAACTGTTATTTCAGCCTTCACGTTAGCCGTGTTCAAAGCACGTGTGGACAGTGCACTGACCACACTACCCCATGTGACGTAATACAAACGGCCCATAAATCAACAGGAAAACAAAAGCGAACTAACCCATCTTCCTTTTTGTCTGGAAACCACAGATGATAACTTTGGATGGTACATAAAACAGACGGAAACGCTGTGATCGTCAAGTTCGCAATTTGCAGTTGTTCACGATTTCCTATTACCATTTTGCCTTTATTTTACTCACCCCCAAACCGATCATCCGGCGGGACATGTCAAGCTTCGGCTTCTTTTATCTGCAATATAACACTGACCGTTGACCATTAACTGACCAGCCGCAAACACCATATCGATGTTGCTGAAACCCGAACGAAATCCATATTGCTCTTCCGCCACGCTAGGTTCCACAAACTGATTGACGAGGCAATTGAGCAGGATTCGGGCAATCACCTTGTCCGCACAACTCAACAATTTACTGCCCCGATAATTCGTGGCACATTGCTTGCTCCCTTTGCCCTTGTACAGTGGTAGCACAAGGGCATCCTTCAGCTCAGTAGGCGCATGCTCCTCAATCCACACGCGTTGCACCAACTGGTGCAGTGTAGTCATCAAGGTGGGTCCGCCATGTTTCAATACTTCAGGCGGAATCCCTTTGGCACCCGCACATTTGCCGTTTCGCAGCTGAGCAAGCGCTCCCTGCGTCTCATCCAGTATCGGCGTGCCCACCAGGCTCATCTTCATATCGTGCTGTTTCAGGCCGTTCAAAGTAGGCCAGTTGATCTTTGAACGGTTTTTCAAGAGAGAAGCAAAACATTGTTGCTACCTCTGCATTATGTCTGCAGTCTGTGTGCAGGCAGTGCCTGAACTACCATCGATTCGCGTCCTCAGCGGCTCCAACCTCGGTCCATACACCGCGTTAAAGGAGTCAAAGTATTCCGTGTGTTGGCGGTGTTCGGCGTAGCATTCCATCTGCTTCGCCTTCTCCTTCCACCATGTATTTTTAATGCAACGGAGCTCTCGGGTCAGTCGTCGTCGAATTCTGCCGAACTTGCTGTGCTTCACCAAGTAACTGGGGTCTGCCGCATGTGCAGCAAATGCTGCATTCTTCTCCGACCCCCATCCGCCAATCGTCGCATTGTTCACATCAAACCAATCAGGCCGCTTGTGTTTGGCGCGCCCGATGGTCTCCTCGGCAGTAGCTGTCACCTGGTCACGAATGTGGTGCCACAGGTCGCCCACTGTGGCTATGCAGTCCATCTCACACAGGCGTACAGACATCGCCTTCTCCAGCTTAATACGTTTCTCCCCAGAACCCGCCGATTCACGGCGGTAGTGCAATACATAGGTTTACGAAAATATATGTACAGTTTGGTCTACACCAATTTGTGATCAGTGCCACACACAGCTCCACTCAGTACACGTGTCCTGTGCACTTCACGCACATCACGCTGACGTACGATGACATAGTCGAGCAGGTGAGCGTGACCACTCCGTGGGTGCGTCCAAGTTGCTATATCACTCGCACTCAGTGTAAACCGAGTGTTCGTGTTCGTCAGGCCGTGAGTGGCACACAGTGAGAGCAGTCTGTCACCGTTCGCATTCGCGGAATCAATGCGATGCGGGCTGATGACATCACGCTCGACGAGCGTGTTGAAATCACCCAGCAAAAATAGTCGGTCACTCAGAGGCCGTAATACCGACGATAGCTGAATGCAGAATTGATCACGCATGTTATCAGGATAACACATGATCGGACCGTACGTACCTATGAAAGTGGAAAACTTACCTCTTCCGAGTCGTAAGCGAACAGTCATCAGTCGCACGCTGATGCCTGTTGGTTCACTCACGGGCTGGCCATGAAGGCGATCGGATACTGCAAATCCGACCCCACGTTCACCTGGTGCTGAAGTCGCGTTGCCCACCCAGTAGAATGTGTAGCCAGCACCTGTTTCATGCAACTTGCCTTGCTCAGCGAGCCGAGTTTCACTGAGCGCCGCAACATCGATGTGATAACATGCCAGTTCTATCGCGACCAGCGCAGTGTGTTGCTCGGGGCGCTCACTGGAGTTCCGGTTCAGTAGTGTGCGTACGTTCCAGCACACGATGCTGAGTGCTTTGCGCGCACGCACACAATTGCATTGGAGGTCAATCGCACTCGTGGTGGCGGTTGTGCTTCGGAGGTTTGCTTGAGGGACTCCACCCCTTTACCACATTATCGTTTACAGACGTGGCACGCTTAACGTTACCAGGTTACTTGGAAGTATGGTACCTGAGACCTTGAGCGCCTATGTTTGATTCGGTCTCGCCTCCGGAAAACTTTTCATATTCACATATTATGAAATTCAAACTTACCTGAAGGACTTGCGTCCTTTCGACTAGCTGTCCCTCCAGTTCTCGAGATGAGCGTTTGAGCTGACGAATTCGATCCTGTGCCAGACCAAGACGATGTTTGTGACTCCGATTGGTGACTTCCAGCTGGTGTTGCATGGACTGAAATTGATACAGAAATATATGGGATGCTGCGTAATAAAATGCTGTGGAGTTTAAGTAGACGTTTGTCTAACTTAGACCTTTACAATGAGACTGAACTCCGGGCAAAACACCTTGCCTATTTTATAGCGCCTGCACAAAATAAACGATGCAAATCCACAGTGTTTCTTTTTCGTACGTATTCAAATAACTTTGGAAAGCTGAAGTGGTTAATATGGCTGGAATTGCTTTCCGAGAGCGGAGTTCATCGGGGCGGGTGTAATCTGTTGCATAGCTAAGTTGGGAATCGCAATCGCTTACCCAGTTAGACGGTAAGAAATTCTCTTTCCTCCGTGACAACAATGGTTTCAAGTAGGGCGATTATATTGATTTGCTTCTTATAGCTGGAATGTCTTTCCATACAACCCACGTTTATCGAATACGAATATGTTGACAAGGTTGTGCTGGGGTGTATGGCTCCCAGTATTCAGAATTTCTTATCGCTCCTACGTGGTTTAAAAGAGTTGGTGGAGTGCTCTTCTTGCAGTTGCCATAATTTGAATACTTCCAAATAATGTGATGTAATACTTTTTCTCCTCATGGCCATAAGCTGCGGCCTGTCATAGTTATCTGACTCACTGACTGTGCCAAAATCTCACAACCAGATCATTCAACGTCAATTTTTTCGGTATCATTTTGTTCCGATATCTTACTCGGCCCACGCAAGTTTTTGAAACTTTTTCCAAAGTAAGAAAGTTTCCCTTAATGCCCTTACACTTAAATAGCTTTCAGCACCCCGTAGTTCAAATGTTGTCATGTTTCTTGACATAAAAGCTACCATCGATCCGGTGGATCGATGTGCCGTTTGGGACTGTTTGCTGAGGAAAGGTGTGCTTGATAAATACGTAAACATTATCAAATCGCTGTACGCCCATAGTTCGGCCAGAGTATGGTTTTATGGCAAACTGTCGCCACTTTTCAGAATCACCAGCGGTGTAAGCCAAGGTTGCCCACTGTCAACTTTCCTATTTAACTTCGCAGTTGACGAAGTCAGGTAAACAGCATTCACTGGATACGACCTAGAAGGTGTGGAGCTACTTCCTGGTGAGCGACTTCTTGATTTCGAGCGTTCGGACGATATTGCCTTAATCAGAGACAGCACCCAAACATGCCATGCAGCACTGGACCGATTAACACTGGCTGTCAATCGTCTTGCGCTATGCTTTACTGCATTGAAATGCCACAATAAAACCCTAGCAAAACCGATTGGTATTCAAACCTTCTGAAATCATGAAATCACAGTCGGTTCCAAGCATATTCCGAGATATTGAAATGCAAAGTAGTTTTACAAGATTGGCAGGAACCCTCCCCTGCGCTGACCCTTGGTGGTGATCAGCTGGAAGTCGTTCATGAATTCAAGTACCTTGGTACCTATATTAGGGCCCGTTGGATCAGAGATGAGATTACGAATCGTATAGCAAAATTTCGAGGTGCTTTTGCGCAGACGCGACATTACTCTCGCTCTGAAGGGCAGAGTTTATAACGCAGCCGTCCATTCAACCCTCACACATGGCTGTGAAACTTGACCCATCAGATCGACAGACATAGAGGCTAGTCCCATTCCATCATCGCTGCTTTCACAGCATAGCTCACATCTGGTGTGAGCACCGAGTGAGCAATGAGCGTGTTCGGTGTCGCATATTTGGTGCAGGAAGAGCGCGTGAACCGCTCAGCCCCATTATATCACACACCCGGTGCCGATGGCCGGGCGACGTGTTGCGCATGCCAGCACACCGACTCCAGTGACGTGCATTGTTTGCGCGCTTGGGGTGCGGTTGGAAGGGGAGGAGGGGAGGTCAAGCGATGACTTGGTCGAGAGAGATGAAAACCCTCACTCTGAAGTTGACGTCGGTTGGTGAATCCTGACTGCCTGGCTGGGGTCCTAAGGACAATGAACACGTTTGCTTGGACATACTTGCTGATATGGCTAGGAGCCGGCCCCAATGGCGTTTGTGTTGTGCGTTCCTTCGTCCAACCCCCTCCCTTTAGGTTCCCCCCTCCAATCCCGACCTTATGCAAGACGCACAATATAATATTTCACATCATATTTGTGTAGCGGGATTTTTTATTCCCTTATCTTTTTGTATTGCGGCATATTAGCTGAGGTGTGTTGCTCACCCTCAGCTAACGTGTACCGATGAAGATGATGATGACTTCAAGTGTTAACTTTGGGCAGTCATGCATTCTCCTCCACTTGTTGTGTTGGTCCTTTGTCAGCTTCCTTAAACTACTTCCGAAAGACCTGGGGTGCTACTCAAATGCTAATCGCAAGAGGCGTGCCGAGTAGGGAAGTAAGGAGAACAGTTACATCGTCTGGACCCAACGTGTGTTGAGAAAAGTTACAAAGAATGGAGCGCAGGTAAGCAGTAGCAGACAGCAGTGTTGCAGCGTGACTACACAGCGGAGCGGAGTGATCGGTAAGTACACTCAGTTAAACAAGTGGATGGTCAGAAGATATAAACAAGAATAAAGTCCAATGTCTCAAAACACTGAATGTGTGAATAATTCACCTTCACTACAGACTGCACCCTGTTGGTATGATCGATAATGCACATCTCTAGGTGCAACGGTTTGGCTAAAATATCCTCAGTTGACCTGGTGATTCTTAGATATCCTGGTGTGAGCAACAACTATTTTTCTATTATAGTAGTTGACCGATTTCATCCACTGCACACTGCGTCTTCAAAAAAACCCACTTTTGCATGAATGCGTTCAAAACTGATGGTTTTATTTTCCTGCTGTTCATGGTATCGTATCAGGAACTTGGCTTATCTAGCGCTTTTTTTTGTTAAACAAAAGGTCACCGGCGATTGATAAAGAGACTGTTTGGTACATGTTTCCTTTTTCCTTGGAACAAACCTGCGTTCCAACGGCTCATCTGTGAACACGTTTTGCCGCCGTTCTCAGTTGCATTTTGTTACACAAACGTGTGTTCACACTCATTCGACCCAGATTCATCGGCGCTATCTAGTGCACTCTATCGGATCTAGCTTGTGTGGATCGTAAATCTCCACCTAGCGGTTCTTGCGTCATTCCCGCAAAAAACACAATGGAGGAATTTTCCGAATCACGAACTACACAGAAATATTTGTGGTCTCAAACGAAAGCCAACAACACGTTTCATCTGACGAATCAGAAACTAGAGCCGTGGACCGTTCATAAAAGTAGCTATCGTTAACCTTGTGTGCGTATCGTTCTGTCGCTCTGATTGCCGCGTGAACGACCTAGCCGCTTAAACCTGCCTCGCCTGGGCCAGACGCACAGGACGTGACGAGCTTGAACATGCAGACACTTTAGCGCACACGTGACCGAGAGGAAAGCATAAGCGCTCAGGCCTCTATGGGAATACCATCGATCGACGCAATGGATTGTGGTGACCAATCAAAATCCCATGCTACCCCATCCAGATCGACAATAATTTGTGGTCTTACTTTATTCCATAAAAAGGTACGGATGGGAATCCAGTGTAGCGGTTGCCAAGGCAGGTTCCGTGGCAAATGTTCCAAGCTCACAGTGAACCAGTCGAAGCTACACAATAGTAAACCAGATTCACCGTGGTTCTGCTCAATGTGTATGGTCATCCCACTGGTTAAGTTTGTACATGAACTATTGCAGAAATACGAAAGACTGGTGGCAATGATTGAACAAATGAGGAGCACCAAAACCGATTCATTTGTGCAAAGCTTGACAGAGAGTAAATCACAGTCAGTCCCATCCAGAACCGCATTAAAATTGAGGACGAAGGCTAGGCAGTGCGCTAAAAATGCATCATCTGTGATATTAAACGCCAGTACCACAGGTTGCTCAAATATATCTGAAACAATCACTGCCAGTCCGATTGTAATGAGCACGGTCAGGTCGTCGTTCACTCACCGAACAGTTCCGAAATCTCAGAAGGGCTTTAACACCAGTGGTGGTTGGAAGTTGGTTGCTGCCAAAGGTGACCGAAAACCTAGACCTACGGTCACTCTCAATGCACCCAAATTACATGAAGAAGACGGTTGTATCCAAACAGCTTCCATCAGTTGTATACGGACCAGCTGACGAGTTGCACGTAGCATACCAGCGGTAATTTGCACCAACGATCCAGAATCGATGTCAAATTACTTAAAAGAAAAACAACTCGATGACGTGAACCAGTGGAACGTCATATGTGACATTATAGATGTGGTAGCCAGGCTCGTCAATTTGATACACTTTACCCGTAAGACAAACCCACAGCACTACGGTGAACCAAGACCACTCCAAGTTGTGATGACTTCCGCCAATGAAGCTGAGGCTGTCCTGTTTTCGACAGCTCGTCACAAGAATGGGTCATGTTCCATCCGCCTCTTCCCAGATATTCCGTGGAGCCAGCGCAGACAGGCAAAGCACTAGTTGGACGAAAACGGAAAGAATCAGTAGTCAGGACCATTCTTGTATACGGTATTCCAGAGGCTGGAAGTGATAATGAGCATGAAGCAACCACGTACGACCAGGAACAATGGCGGTACTTTCGCGAGACCCTCTCCCTGGAAAACGTCATTGCACCACCCGTCTCGTGGCTGCGCCGAGCGCCAAACTACGATGGATGTGGCCTGCGGATTGGGAAATTGGTCCTTCAATCTAGACAAATGCCACCAATGGCAGTGGAACGATGGTATGCGGGCTGCAGCAACCTTCCTTTCGAACTCCGGATCAAGGCAGCATCTGCTAAGCTAACGTACAAAAGCAGCCACTTAGTCAAACCACCTACCGATAAGAGTTTGGCTAACTTTAATCAACTAGTCAAAGAAACTGGCAAACACACCCCATACATTACCTGAAAAGAACAAAGCCAAGATGTAATGGTAGCAAACATGAATCGGACACAGATGAGTTCGTCATCCCCCCACCCAAAAACGATTAATTGCCGAGCTTTCACCGGTCGGCATAAGAGTTTAATCAGAACACCCACCCCACGATTTATTGCTAAAAACAGA